TTTCATTCATTGAAATATATCTGTTTATGTCAATTAAGGTTAGAAAACATTGATTGATAAATGATATTGAGTATACCATGTCATTTGATACATAACGATTTTTTGACACGGATTAACATTTCAATCCAAACTAGCAATAAATAATTCAATATTTTGATTGAGATCATGAATCGATAAATTTTAGACCACCACTGAAAATTTGGAAGGATTGGACCAGCCGTTTCATCCTAGTAGGGAATCTCATCAACGTTGGGCATGAGGCAGTGACCCACCGTAGACCATGGAAGATGGTCGCGTAATTTTTATGGATTAGTTGGAGTCAGACACTGACTAAGCGGTCAAAAGGTCGGGCGTTCACGTCACAAATCACAGGTTTAGTGCTTTCAGGTTTCGGTTGGTGGTCTATCTTAGATCCACTCATCGATCCATCTATTAAAATCACTACAATCACTATAAATCCTCATTCTGACATTTCAGAATATCTTATGTATGGATCGTGACACTGAATGATACAACAGTAAGTCTTTAAAGATTATCTTACTAATGATACCAAACTAATAGTAGATTAGGACATAGATTTGTAAACCTCTAATCGTCCGACATTACAAATCGCTAGTTTATCCTATTCTTACTGTCATATTCTACTTTTAAAATTACTTTATATACTATTAACTCCGCCTGTAGCTCTTCCAGAGTTACTGCCGGTCTCAAGCCTCAGTAAAGCAGGAGGATTGGGTATGGGGTTAGTGAGCCCAACCCGTAGAAAAATAAATCGCTACAAATACGTCTACCAGAAAGAATAATTAAAACCATTTAAAATCTGCCCTGGGAGTTAGAAGGTTTTCATTTCTTCAGGCGTAAATATGTAAGTTGTATACTATTGGAATTTTATAATTTTAGATACAAAAACTAGACTACGTTTTAAAAAGTGTTATTGAATTAAATAAGTTTGAAATGTCTGGAAGACAAGAAAAACAGAAGAGAAAAATCCTGGTTTTACAGATGTGAAAAAGTTTTATTACTTGAATTCATGAGTCAATTAAAACTAGACTACCATGAAAACTTCAATACTTCGGATGAATGTTTTGTTCTAGTATGGAACACTTCAGCAGTGCGCATCCACGATCGCTCACGTGGGACTCGAACCCAAGAGTTATCGGTCTGACATATGAACACTTAACCTGTAGACTACTGAACCAGCCAGCATCCGATGATGGTAATGTCCAACTTTAATCAATCTGCGAAATTGCGGCACTGTCCATTATCGTCTCTTCACTGAGTTACTATTCCACAACAGATGCAGTTAAACTCCACTGTTCACGGCTTCTCACTAGAACTCGAAGAAATATGTCTTGAAACCAGTCACTAGTAATCAATGGATATATATGTATACTACTTAGATTCGTCATATCAGTAAGTCTATTCGAACACGATGTAATATATATATGTTCAGACGACTGACGCTTTTCAGGTAACATGTACAGAATTATGTCGTTTTAATTTATTCGAAAATAAAGAAAAAATCTTGAAAAATTTCAAAGAAAATTCGATGTTTATTCATACAATGAATTCGGTAGTCATCGGTCATTACATTCAATGGAATTCTAATCACAATGCTAAACTAACCAAGATCGATCAGATCATGAATGAGACAGTTATATACCTATAGAAAAACTGAATACTGTCAACCAGTATGTTGTGTTATGAATGGTAACTTTTGGGATCCATTCATGAATCAATACTATGCGAATATTTTTATCATATAACTAAACTATTCATATTCATGTTCCTTTTATTATAAGCTTTATTTTGATCTATGAACTATTATTAGATGATTTATCGTTCTTGAATTATCCTCTGTCTATTAGTCACTGCCTCTCACATTCACATCCACTTTGGACTCGACTTTGTACAAATGTTATTTCCCATTACATGGTACGATGTGGTCTGTTTGGTTGGCATATAAACCCAGTATATTTGAAATACATGATTCATATATCAGAGGCTGAGATTGGTGTTCTAGACTTAACTGGTTGAGCTAGGCAAGAAACAGGATTATTACGGACTGTAGACTGCTCGTACGTGTTGAATGAGTCGTTGGTCCGATCGATAATTCACTTGTTGTGACTCACGTTTATCACGAGAACACGACTGGTTTAATAAAAACAATTATTATTATAACCAACTGTATCAGTGTTTGTTTTAACGTGCTTTTGTTTGACTGTGCTAATGACAGCTATTTTGTGCTTCCTTTCTTTCGCTTACACTTTGATTGTAACTTCGCGCGAATTCGGTTACCTTCTGTAACCAGGATTGTATCCTGGCACGAACTCGGTATCCTTTCGATGCCACGAGATCGCCAGTAAATAAACATCGACTTGGTCCATTAATTGCCTTCTGATATTCGGCTTCTCGGGGATTTTATGGAGTCATTTGGAACGAGCTTCTTACGCCTTTTGATTCGCTTGGCACGTGTTTCTTTGTAGCGGTGTTCATAGTTAATCTCTACTCGACGCCACGCTACAATTGGTAATCCCAATTTGAATACAATTGGTGACCCGTATTTTGGAACACGCCTCATCCTCTGATCAAATCTTCCAAAGAAGCCAATTCGGTGAGTCTATGATTTATCTATCCACGTCTGTCTTATATTTTCATATTTTTAATATATCATATACGCGACATGACGGATAACGATAAGAATAGTATTAATATAATAGACTCACACGTATGTGTACCGAGTCCTTGTCACTTTTTATTCGCGTGATGATGAATTCCACGCTTTATTCGAGAAATGTTACCCTATTAACGATTCTCCTCGCTGACCCGGCTGCTTGGTACGGAATGCATACGCATAAGCATATCCGTCTACCACCCAGCACCAAATGGTTAAGTTGAACGGGTTCACTGCCAACTTAAAAGTGTTCTACGAGCACACGAAAACGGCAACTGGCACGAAACCTTACCGCTCGTTCTTTTAGGGGTGAGAACGAGCTTAAAGGCAGATATCCAATGTTCCGCCACTGAACTTGTATACGGCATCACACCACGGAGCAGACCTAATTTCGGTAAATCAGACTATGTCCATCGACTGTCTGCATTTATGCGAACGCTGTCTCCGGTGTCAACTGGAATACGACATCGACAGGTCGCTCTCTCTAGAGAGTTATCTACCTGTTCACATGTTTTTGTACGAGTAGATTCGGTACGCAAACCTTGGCAACAACCTTACGAAGGCCCTTTTCACGTGATCGCTCGTCACGAAAAGACCTTCAAGGTTGATCGATATGGACGCGTCGAGATCGTCAGCATTGATCGT